ATGCACTGTTGCAACGTTCTAAAACTTAAATACTCATGACTAGGGTTGTCAGCTACAGTCTCAGTTTCCTTAACATACATATGTACATATACTTTTTAAACATACATGCTTGAAACCTTTAAATCATATATGCATATACATGATTTTACTTGAACTTATTGCGGAAGATTTAAGTGTGAGCGGTATCCATTTCCATCACCACCATTCGTCCGCCGCTTGCCATTGCCCTTTAAGAATTGCTAATAGGTTTCTTACCTAGAGCATGAACATATCTGATTGTGCTTTCGCTCAACAAGTAGGAACTATCTCTCACAAAATAACTGTAAGTACACATTAATAAATATGCATGAGCTGATTATGCTTAATTATTATGTCTTATCATAGTCTTATTATCTTATCTTATCTTATCTTATCTTTCTTTCTTACTGATTGGCCCGAGTGCTCGTACCACTTGCCCGCAATCATCGGGACGTGAGGGTTTACAAGGTCCCCCATGACACCGTGATTATAACTGAATTGAATGCCTCCCTCTCAGAGGACATTATTATATTTTTTTTTCTTCTCCCTTGGGAGCCTGAGTCACCTCCCTCTCAGAGGCTGGGACGACACTCAACTGAGATTATTCTTATAAGTTCCTCTTAACTTATTAAGGTGTATGCAATATGACATGGCAACGCATACAATACTTAAAGCATAAACATGCATATATAACATGTATAACTTTTTCTTTAAAATCTATTCATGTTGTAGGCAAGATTCCTACTTACCTGATTCACAGAGTTAGAATTCACTTTTCGCCAAACAGCCTAGCCTCTTACTTGCTTTCTTATGAAAATGAACACCCATTGAGTGTGTGAGCTTAACTGTCGTTTGCTATTCTATTTTAGCAACTTATGAGGAAAAACCTAACCCTTTCCTTAAGGCATGTATTCCTCTCATTTACTAAAGGGTAGTAAGGATCAATTTATTAAATCCTCAAAATCTTATTTTCATTAATTGCCCTTTATCTACTTGCCTAGATTGAAAATCAATTACCTAATCTAGTAATTCATTCTCCATAATTTTCCTCATTAGCCTTGTTATGATATTAAGGCCCAATTCGGCCCAGAAACTTATACACGGCATTCTAACTCTTAGGCCACTGAAATTTATACTCCAACGGAGTCTCTTAAATTAATGCGGGTATTGGACCCACATCAAATCTTTGAAATTCTAAGGACCTATCGTATTGGGCTCGTAGGTGCCCGTCGGGATGATTTGCTCGATAAACCACTAAGTTCTTTAAAAGAAAACATTTTTCTTAAAAACTTTCTTTGCGACTACTTCCGTTAAAACGAGGTTTAGCACCATAGTATTTTACTGAAATCACATCTCGGGTTCTTTGATAACTTCTTATTAAAACCAACACTGTGTTAGTTTTGTTTCGTTAAAACTGTGCAATTTCTGAAATCTACATTTTTCTGCATCTTAGAGTCGATTTTGAAAATTTGTTCTTTGCGTTAATTCTTCATCTCATCGAGATCTAAAATTGTCGTTTTTGGAGAAAGTTAAAATTCAGCCTCTAAAGGCCTCGTTTGGCAGAAAACAGTTGCAACTGTTTTTTTTTTCTTTTGCTATAGGAATGTCGTAGCAATCTTTTAAAAATGTTGTAGCAATCTATTAAAAATGTTATAGGAATGCTGTAACAATCTTTTAAAAATGCTATAGCATTGCTGTATTAATCTTTTAAAAATGCTATAGGATTGCTGTAGCAATCTTTTAAAAATATTATAGGATTGCTGTAGCAATCTTTTAAAAATGCTGTAGGATTGCTTTAGCAATCTCTTTTAAAATGTTGTAGGATTGCTGTAGCAAACTTTTTTTTTCTGAAACTGTGTTGGACAGCCTGTCCGTTTTTGTAAAATGGCTTCAAACTTGCTTTCAGAGTTAAAGTTAGGTTGTCATATTTACAGAAAAACATTCAAAACATCGAGAACTATAAGTTCAAGTTTAGAAATACTGAAAAATCTCGCTCTAGGGTGCTTATTTTCGCGTTCAAATTAACCGGAAAATTTTTCCTTCAACCCAAAATAAGCAACTTAAATCAAACATAAGCATACCACATCAAACTAACCTCAAAACACACAAAACCAACATAAAACTCACACACTCTTATTACAACTTATCTCCTCAAGAACCACAAATTACATCCTTGATTCCCAACTAGATTTTTGGTAGGAAAATATAGGAGAAAAGTTTAGAATTATACCCTTGAAGAAAATCCTTGGTTAGGCTCCTCCTAGAACACTTGATCACCTCCTTTTTCCTCTAAGGTTTGTTAATGGCTTGGAACTAGAAGAGTATAAGGAAATTTGAGAGGAATATTTCTACATTTCAAACTTTACTAAAACATGAGAAAGAGAGGATTTAGAGTTTATACCCTTGGAGAAATGCTTGACTAGACTCCTCCTAGAATCTTTTGATTTCCTTCTTCTTCTTCTATTGTTTGCTAGTGGCTTAAGGTTAAGAGAGTGAGAGAAAATTTTTGAAAGGGGATTGGTGTAGTGTGGCCGGTTTTGGGGTGGAGAGAAAATGAGAAGAGTAAAAATGAGGCCTAGCTTATGATGGCTCCTTTTATAGATAAGTTGGTAGTCCTTTTTTTAGCACCAAATCCACTCCATTAATTCAACTAGATTTTGAGTTCAAATCCCCTAAGCATGGCCAGTTCTAGGTGGAGAAAAGAAGGAGCAAGTATGCCATGATTTCCCCTTCAACTACTACCATCATATCCCACCTTAACATGAAACCCTCTAGCACACTCAACTAGCCAAATTTTGGCTCTAATTTCACTATGCATAGCCGGCCAAGTGGAGAAGGAGAGAGAAAAATATAACCTACCCCTTGTACTTTTGTCCACTCTCTTAAGTTTCTCTTTGAAACTGTTCAAAATTATACTGACTGTAATTTTCTCACTGGATGCTAGTTTGTTTTGCACTTGGAGATTCTTGGAATTAAGATTTTCAAACTATATCTGTACTGAGAATTCTTCTGTTTAAAGTACGGTGAGAATTTATCGATCGAATTTACTTGATCGCAAAAACATGAACTTAATATGAAATCTGCTACAGAATTTAAGAATACAGATGTTAATTCCATAAATCCTTCAATCAGAAAATATACATAATATATTTTTTTCCAGGAAAAATCCTTGACTTAAATACATGAATTGCATTATTTAAATTTTGAGATTTTCTTGGTGACCAAGAGTAAAATCAAGTGAGTTTAGGCTTAAAGTGAATAATATCATACCAGGTGGGGGTGCGGGTCGTTACATATGGTATCAGATTTTGTACCCAGCCAAAAGTGTGGCTAACGAGGATCTTGGGCCCCATAGAATGGGGTGATTGTGACAGCCATATATTCCTTGAGGTACAAGGCCAAACAAAGGGTAAGTAGTGTAGTCCCACATCACCTGGGGATACAGATAGGTCTTGGTTTATAAGGAAGGACACCACTTTCCAATGGTATGAGGCTTTTCGGAGTGAAGCCCAAGAGCAAAATCGTGCGGGCTTAGGTCTAAATCGAACAATATCATACTAAGTGGAGTTGTGGGTCATTGCACCTTCACATTGTTTTGAGACATGGAAATTCTCAGAAATTCAAAGATATTTCTCCGCTCCTAGTCTAGGTTTTTCTCAGTGTGATATAGCTTGGTTACTTTCGAAGTTCACCGTGAAGCTTCGTTGCATATCAAAGTTTCTCGTTGACCGTTGTATCCTGGGAGACAGACGCCGGATTTCCTAAGACTCCAATGGTGAGGGTCGAATCTTCATTAAGGATACCGTGTGGTACGTGTGATACACAAGCTTCAGTTCCATTTTGTTTAACAACGATCTTCCTATCTTTGTTATTGTGATTTTAATATTTTGTTGTGGTACTTTGTAATTGTGTTTGCTTATAGCAATTTTCGATTTCAATTTACCGATTCGTTTTGATTTCATTTATCCTATGTTTTTAACAGAAGGAAACAAATCCTCCAGATCAATACGTCCTAAAATCTTCGGAACTCTTATTACTAATGATATATATGTGTAGTCAAATCTTGATCTTTGCTTTGCTTACCAACAATGATCGTTATGGTAGACATTTAGCAATATTTACTTGTGAACTTCTGGTATTAGATAAATTTTCAGAAAAAACATATCCGACATAGTAATACATAAATAAGAAGGGTATTCAATGCAACATTATACATGTGACCTACGGTCCAATAATTAAAACCCTTTTCTAATTGTAAAACCAAAAGCAGAGGAACAGAAGAGAAATAACCCAAAACCATCTTTCTTATTCATCTCAAATATTTGGACAAAGCTAAGGAATGGGAATCAAGTATTGTTCAACTGTAACTGATTTATGGTAGAAATGGTTAATTAGTGATGAACGGATTCATGGTTTAGCACTGAATAACTTGGTGGTTCATGGCTAACTCAATATCAGTAAGTGATTAACCAAAGTTAATCAATAATTTACCAATCTATCAATGATAGGTCCTTTATAAATTAGTGAACGAACATTGGTAAATCATTGATAGACCGGTCTATTAATGAGAAGCTAATAGTATATTAGTAATTGACCATTGTAAAACCCCATAAGAAAACTGGCCTTTTAACTAAAGAAAACGTTCGGCTAAAACTGGCCATCCACCTAAATTTCTAGAGAATTTGGAGAATCCAATGCTTTAAGAGTGAATTACTCAATAATTTTTATGTCTTTCAGTTTTTTTATTTTTTTATTTTTTATTTTTATTTTTATTATTATTATTATTTTTTGTTATCCCCTATTTGTGAAATTTCCTCTCCAGGTTTAAAAGAAAAACAGCAACAACAACGTATAAGTCTCTAAAGAAAACAGCAAATATGATAAACAATCACTAGATGAAACCTTATTTGATAGGATGCTCGCAGACATCATGCAAGCCATAAAAGCAAAATTACAACTTCACTCAGCCAACACAAGTGGTTTTCTGAGCTTTATTAATGATAACAAAGGATAATGTGAACTACAACAGTAAAAACCAAAAATTACACGTTAGTTTGTGCTCGTAGAGGTTTGTTGTATAGGTGACAAGTCATAAGCACTGGGAATCAAGTGCAAACCTTCCTTTCTTCTAACTGTTACACCAAACAACTCAGTCATGTCCAAGTCTTCGTGATTCACTCCACTGGGGAGTTTCCAATCAAAATGGTAAAGGAACATTGCTAGAAAAAGCTCAACATTAATCAGACCAAACGACATGCCTGGGCATATTCTCCTTCCCGCCCCAAATGGTATGTACTCAAAATTTGTTCCTTTGAAGTCAATCGGACAATCAAGAAACCTCTCTGGCAAAAAACTATCTGGTTCGGTCCAATATTTAGGGTCTCTTCCTATTGCCCATGCATTAACTATGACCCTGGTTTTCACCGGTATCTCGTAACCATTAATCTCACATTTCTCTTGAGATTCTCTTGGAAGTAATAAAGGAGCAGAAGGGTGTAACCTCAGTGTCTCTTTGACAACACATTTTAAATATTTCATCTCACTAAGCACGGTTTCATCAACCGACCCTTTTCTATTAAAGACTTGTCTCACTTCATTCTGAGCTTTTTTCATCACTCTTGGATTCTTTATCATTTCTACCATTGCCCACTCCGCAGCTGTAGCAGTTGTCGTGCTCCCAGCAGAAAAGATGTCCTGAAAGTTAAAGATTAGTATTTTGCAATTAATATTCAGTATATTTTCCTAGTGCATACAATTTAGCCAAAGAATCAGGTGAAAAAAAAAAAATGGTTTTCCTTGGTCAACAATGCAGCACAATAATTCGAAGGCATAAACAAGTCATATATCTTTGGAACAAATAGTTATTAAAGAAGCAAATCCAATGTCTTTTCTCTTCTTTATTTGGCATAAGGTAGTCCAATGAAGAGATAGGAGACGTTGCGGTTCGAATAAGCAATTGAAGAAGCGCCAAGTGGAAATAGGTAATGAAATATAAGGATATTATGCAACAGAAATGGAATATACTTACCCATATGACTGCTTTGACATCGTCAGTTGTTAGGGAAAAGCCAAGGTCATTGTTACAAAACTTCAGGAGAACATCAACTAGATCTTCTGTGATTGTATGACTTTCACCACTTTTTGCTGTTGGCTTCTTCTCCTTATGTTCCTTGATGATGTTTTCGATTATCCTATCGGCCCTTTGATGCAGCCTCTCAAATTTAGCTCGTGTGCCGAAGATGAGAGGATCAAGAAAACCGAAAGAAGGAAACAAATCCTCCAGATCAAAGCCTCCTAATATCTTTGCAACTTCAATCACAAGTGTTATAAATTCCTCTTGATCTTTGCTTTTCTTTCCGAAGGCTGCTCGCGACGTGATGTTGTAAGTAGAGGAGTGGATTCTTTCAGTGAGATTGATAGAAGAGCCAACATTCGAAGCAATCCATTCCATGAGATTGAACATCTCTTCCTCTCTAATTGGTCTAAACGATTGAACCCTCGCCGGGCTCAAAAGCTCCTGTATGCAAATTTTTCGAAGTTGTCTCCAATACTCGCCATACGGAGCAGAAATGAGGTCAGTAGAATTGTAGAACACGATCCGTGAAACAAGAACGTGGGGCCTAAATGCAAAGATGGTGTCATGTGTTCTCATAACCTCTTTTGCAAACTCCGGCGATGAGACTACAACAATTGGAAGCTGTCCCATTCTTATGCTCATCAGGGGTCCATATTTCCTGGCCAAGTCTCTTAATGCGTGATGAGGCAAAGAGCCTACAAGCTGATGCATATTTCCAATTATGGGCAACTTGCATGGTCCCGGGGGTAGTTTCAAAGAAGAGTTACTGGTTTTGTATGATCTTTTCAGTATGCTCAACACCATGAACAAAAAGAGGAAGAAAGGGAGAAGGATTGGTAAGATGGGATGTTGGAGATCCATGAAGGAAGTGCCGAGAAAGATTGGGCGAAGGAGGCAAAATTATTTAATGATTTAGAATTATACCATTGTTATCTTTATATAGATATTAACTCCGTAGACTTATAATTTAGAAGGTCCATAATGGGATATATTTGGTTTCATAAAATATATATGTTCTTAACGGCAAGTGCATAAAAAAATAATAAGAATAACAATTCACGCAGTTGAAAAGTAGAAAGTGCGACATAAACCTGCAAAAGTCTGACAGATATGATTGTTTAATTAAGTCAAACCCAACAATTTGAAAATAGAAAGTGCGTATTAAAAAAATTGGATGAATTGTAGTCTTATTACTCCATTTAGTGTGATTAAAGTTCAAAATGATATTGTGGAAAATATGGTACCTTGTCATAGAACCACCAATCAATTTCAGTTTTTACGCAACTTACGTAGAAGAAAAGATAATCTAGGAAGGGCTCATGCGCACGAAAATAAATGGAAAAAAAAAAAAAACGCAAACGCAAACAATACAACAACAACAACGCTTTTTTTTTTTTTTATTTTTTTATTTTTTTATTTTTACGGGCACTCCCTCAAGTTTGCAGTTTTGATAATTTAGTCCCTTAACATCATCTTGGCAATTTACTAAAATTCCTTGCAACTATGGTCAAATTGATAACGGAGCTCAAAATATGGACAGAATTTGCAATGCGACTAGCACGTTATCGCTCTTGGTTTTTTTGTCACTTCTACCATTGCCCACTCCGTAACTGTAACATTTGTCATACTCCCAAAAAAAAAAGATGCCCTGAAAGTGAATCAGTAGTAATTTGCTATTAAAATTATGTATAATTCCCTATTGCATACAATTCAACCCAAGAATCAGTTGAAAACAAAAATATAGTTTTTCTTGGTCAACAATGCACCACAATAATTGGAAGGCTTAAACGTGTCATATATATTTGGAACAACAACTTGATGAAGAAGCAATTTCAATGACTTTTCTCTTCTTTATTTGGCACAGGAAAGTCCAATGAGAGAGATAGGAGGGGCTTGCTGTCCTTTGGCACAGGAGAGTCCAATGATAGAGATAGGAGGAGCTTGCGGTCCGAATAAGCTACTGAAGAAGCAAATGCCAAGTTGAAATAAGTAATGAAATGTAAGGATATTTTGCTGCCGAAATAATCTGGATTAAAAATGGCTTTTAATCCAGAACTAAAAGCTGAGAGCACCAGCAGCCATCCTGAATTATTATTAATATTTGGCGTCCCTTCTGTAATGACTCGCACCCCTACTTAATATGATATTGTCTGCTTTAGGCCAAAGTCTTTATAATTTTGCTCTTGGGTTTCACTCATTTGTGACAACCATCAATTCCTTAAGGCACAAGGCCAAGAAAACGGTAAGTTGTACAGTCCCACATAGCCTGAGAATGGAGAGAGGCCTAGGTTTATAAGGAATGACACCACTTCTCAATGGTATGAGACTTTTTAGGGTGAAGCCCAAGAGTAAAATCTTGCGAACTCAGACTCAAAGCAAACAATATCATACCAGGTGAAGGTGCAGATCGTTACATATGGTATCACAGCATATACCCAGCTGAAAGTGTGGCCAACGAGGATGTTGGGCCCCATAAAATGAGGTGATTGTGACAACCATCAATCCATTGAGGCGCAAGGCCAAAATAATAGTAAGTAATGCAATCCCACATCACCTGTGGATAGAGATAGGTCTTGATTTATAAGGAATGATACCATCTCCTAATAGTATGAGAATTTTTAGAGCGAAACCCAATAACAAAACCGTGCGGGCTCAGGTCCAAATTAGACAATATCATCTATCTCCCAATAGTATGAGAATTTTTAGAGCGAAGCCCAAGAACAAAACCGTGTGGGCTCAGGCCCAAATTAGATAATATCATACTAGATGGGGCTATGGGTCGTCACACCTTCTCATTGTTTTGCGACACACAAATTCTCAGAAAGTCTAAGATATTTCTCCACTCCTAGTCTAGGTTATTCTTAGTGTGATAGAGCTTGGTTTCTTTCGAAGTTCGCCGGAGAAGCTTCGTTGTGTACTAAAGTTTCTCGTTCACCATTGTATCCTGGAAGACAGACACTAGGAATTCCTCAAACTCCAATGGTGAGGGTCAAATCTTCATTAAGGACACCGTGTGATACACGAGCCTCAATTCCATTCTGTTTAACAACCATCTTCCTATCTCTGTTATTGTGATTTTAATATTTTTTTTGTTGTACTTTGTAATTGTGTTTTCTTATTGCAATTTTCCATTTCAACTTACCGATTCGTTTTGATTTCATTTATCCTATGTTTTTAGCAGAAGGACACAAATCCTCCAGATCAATACGTCCTAAAATCTAGGCAACTCTTATTACTAATGATATATATATATATATATATATATATATGTAGTCAAATCTTGATCTTTGCTTTGCTTACCAACAATGATCGTTATGGTACACATTGAGCATTATTAACTAGTGAACTTCTGGTATTGGATAATTTTTCCGAAAAACATGTCCGATATAGTAATACATAAATAAGAAGGGTATTCAAAGCAACATTATACATGTGACCTACGGTCCAATAATTAAAACGCTTTTCTAATTGTAAAACCAAAAGCAGAGGATAACAGTAGAGAAAAAAGTCCAAAACCATCTTTCTTATTCATCTCAAATATTTGGACAAAGGTAAGGAGTGGGAATCAAGTACTGTTCAACTGTAACTGATTTATCGTAGAAATGGTTAATTAGTGATGAACGGATTCATGGTTTAGCAACTGAATAACTTCATGGTTCATAACTAACTCAATAGCAGTAAGTGATTAACCAAAGTTAATCAATAATTTACCAATCTGTTAATTATAGCTGGTCTTTGTAAATTAGTGAATGAACATTAGTAAATCACTGATAGACCGGTCTATTAATGACAAACTATTAGTACATTAGTTATTGACCATTGTAAAACCCCATAAAAAACTGGCCTTTTAACTAAAAGAAAAGGTTCGGCTAAAACTGGCCATCCACCTAAATTTCTAGAGAATTTGGAGAATCCAGTGCTTTAAGATTGAATTACTCGATAATTTTTATGTCGTTCAGGATTTTTTTTTTTTTGTTTTTGTTTTTTTTTTTTTTTGTCATCCCCTATTTGTGAAATTTTCTCTCCAGGTTTTCTGTTTTAAATTACTAATATCAGGTAAAAAAAACAACAACGCATATTGTCTCTAAAGAAATCAGCAAATGTGATAAACAATCACTAGATGAAACCTTATTTGATAGGATGCTCGCAGACATCGTGCTAGCCATAAAGGCAAATTACATATTCACTCAGCCAACAGTAGTGGTTTTCTGGGCTCTATTAACGATAACAAAGGATAATGTGAACTACAACTGTAAAAATTAAAAATTACATGCTAGTTTGTGCTCGTAGAGAGGTTTGTCATATAGGTGACAAGTCATAAGCATTAATGGGAAGCAAATGCAAACATCCCTTTTTTCTAACTGTGACACCAAACAACTCAGTTATGTCCAATAAAAAATTTGCTACATTTAAGAGTTGGGTTGTTTTTCTACATGTGAAACACCATTCAATGCATCATTTAGCTCTATGTTAGATAAATGGTTACATCTTTGAGTCACCTTCAACATTTCAAAAAGTTTGAAAATTTTTGCTAATAAAGAGTTTGCATTTTTTTAACGTTTGAAAAATAGTACATTTTTTCTAATAACGAATTTTCTACATTCAAAATAGTTACATTTAAGAATCATCTTCAAGTTTTCAAAGAAATTGAAATTCTTGCTATTAAAGAACTTGCGTCTTTGAATATTCGAAACATGGTCACATCTTTGAAATTTGAAAAATGGTGGCATTTTTGTTACATCTAAGATTTGGGTTGTTTTTTCTATACATGATACATCATTCAATCTAACAATCATCAAGGCAAAATGGTCAAAATAGAGTAAGTTGTACAGTCTCACATCATCTTAGGAATGTTATAAGTGAGGACAATCTTGACAAATATCCTTGAAAGTGCATGGTTAGGATTTTTACTGATCTTGATTCATAACTTTTTTAGTTAAATAATTACACTAACTAAAGGATTTTTATCAAGAGTAAGAGGTAACAGTTTAGACTCATGCACTCCCAATAGTAAAATCTCCACCTCCAATGGTGTAATGACCGAAAAAATCCTAAAATTAAATAATGTAATTTGCATATTTAAATCAAGAAATTTCCTAGAAAATATTATGTTTGATTTCGCGAATAAAGAATTTATGGAATTAATGTAAATATTCTAAAATTATATAGTAAGTTTTAAGTTAAATTCACTTTTCCTGATCAATTAGTTTGGTTGATAATTCTTACCGCAATTTTAGACGGAAAGAATTTTAATCCGAAAGTGCCTTGAGAATTTCAATTATAAGAATTTTCAAGTGCAGTATGATGTTAGCAGTGTACCGAGAAACACTCTAACACTCAAGAAAATCTTAATTGCCAATTAGTTAAATCAAAGTTAAGCGAATAACATTTACAATAAGAAAAAAATGCTATCCGAACTCAGGATTGACATTGTTAGTAATGATGTCATTTTCAAGGTAAAATGCAGAAAAGTCAATTTAAGATGGTAATTAGTCTAGAAAAATTTTTAGACTTGGACAATCCGATTGTATTACACGATTTAGATTTGAAATAAGTATTAGATTACTCGAAATAACATCGGACAATAAGTGGTAGATTAATTTACGTCAACTACGCTAATTACCTCCAATCAGCACAAATTTCATCTATTTTGAGGGAATCTTTAAAGATAAGATCAAACACATAATTTGACCTTGATTAGACATTGTACTTAGTGAAATTATTATGGCCTCGTTTGCTTCGCGGATTCAAGCTGAGATGTGACATTTTCTGAGAGTTTTTAACTATAGCAGAAAAAGTTAGATGTGACATTTTTTAAGAGCTTTTAACTGTAAAAACTTAAAACTGAAAATTTAAATTGGTGAAATGAACGGGTCTAAGATTCATTCACTCTCTCTCTTCTTCTCGTTCACTCTCTCTTTCCCCTCTCCCACATCTCTCTCTTT